TTATGTGGCATTTTAAGAATTTCAAGTATATATTTTTTAATTATTGTCGCGATAATATCGTGAATCTCAATTATTCTGACCAGGATGATTAAAACACCTGGTGAACACACACACACACACACACAGTATGGATGTATATATGTTTATATGGACCCACATTCATCGTCCTGTTGCCCCAAACACTCACTAAAGCACTGACTCTCAAACTAAAGTACAGCCTTTAGGAGCTACAGTACAAGTTTATTATTAAAACACTATAAAATTGCTTAAATGCAAAGTAATATTTGTTTCCTGCTACAGTCACGTTCATGAACGCACGCATACATCCAGGATTAGTTGAGATAAAATGTGATATAAGACACTTTATTGTATATATTCTTTATATTCTACATTATTTTATTTTCATTTTATTGTGATTTTTACCCTTTTTATGCTCTTTGCACTACATTTCCCCTGCGCGGCTGTGCCATACCTGAGTTTCTCCTACAGGGGATCAATAAAGGAACAAGTAAGTTTTCAGGTGGTGTAAGAAGTTTAAGAAACACAGCATTAAAGCACCAAATGTGGATTAATCCGCCACTGAAAATAGTCCCCAACAAACACCCTATTTACTGCTTTTTGGGTGATGTTTGCTAATAAATGTACGTCTTCACATGAAAATGGGCTTCAATGGGCTTCGGAGAGCTACAGAGGGTAAAAAGGGAACTCTGACATAAAAGAAGCACTTTATTTTATTTCTCCCCTTCAATTTCGCACAATCAACGTTCGTCACGTATCATTTCTTCCAAATGATGCGGGACGAACGAGTTGTAAACTCACCACAGACCACATCTGTAGAAGTCGCTCTTTATTCTTTCTACATGAATTAAGAAGCGAGTTAGAAGCTTGACAAACACGCTGAAAATAAATAAATAAATAAATAAATAAAAAACCCACTTGAGATCTGGGTCTGAACACCAAATCGGTGGGGGAATATTTTAAAAGCCTGCAAGTCACACAGTTGATGTCATCTTCTTTAAATAACTCATATTTAATTTTCCAGCTTTAGCAGGATGTGTGGGAACTCGGTTTCACTCCGTACGACGCGTGTTATTACTCATTTTTGTTGTTTTTGTGTGAAATGGAAAGAGCAGATGCTATATTAGAAACAGAAAACAACATCAAGAGCACAACAAAAACAGAATATACGTTAACATTTACAGAAATATCGACTGAAACCGGATTAGAAATGGATGTAAGTGGTTGTTGATTCCTTTTTTTTTTTAATGGTTACCGAGAAGTATGCAGAAGCCCAGTGGGAGCTTTCTCTCCCCCCCTTTTTTTTGGTGCATTTAATTTTTCCTTTCTTTTCCCAGAGAGTAACATCAAGAGTGAGAGGGTGAGAGAGAGAGAGAGGCATTAGAGGAATGTCAATATGATTGGAGAGAGAGAGGAGTGTGTGTTCGCTGTGCGTTCAACAACAATAGCTCTCCAGCCGTGTTGTTTCATGCGCATTCACATGATCCATTATTGCCCCTGACATGTACCGCTGTGTGCGAGTGTGAGAGGAGACGGGGTGATTGAGACGAGGAGACAGAGGAAAAGAGGTGAAAGACGGGAGGGGGATAAAAAAATAAGAGGAGACAATTAGCCAGAGACAGAAATACACCTCTGATGAAGTGTGTTTATGGAAAAGAAACAGATAAGGGGGGGGAGAGAGAGAGAGAGAGAGAGAGAGAGAGAGAGTGATAGAAAGAGTCAAAAATAGCAGAAGACAAACAGAGAAGGAAAAAGGACTCCGCTCTTTAAAAACAGGGAGAGGGTTGAATGTTTCAAGCTTAATAAACTATAGACTCCTGTGTGTGTGTGTGTGTGTGTGTGTGTGTGTGTGTGTGTGTGTGTGTGTGTGTGTGGTCAGCTAGAGGTCACTCTCCAACAATCTGGTGACTCCACGGCAACACGATACACCGTCAATAATTAGCCGATCCCAAACAACCCTCCACCTTAAGACCGACCGTCCGTCTATCTATCGCCTCCGTCTTTCAGGGCGACACAAAAAAAATAACCGGAGACGCAGACGGCGTTCCCGGCATTCCCCGACTTGTCAAGGAGTTTCCAGAAATAAGTCGGAGCACTTCCATGAACATGTTTCTCCTCCTCCTGTCTGGTTTTGTTGATGTTCTTTCGGAGGATAAAAGCTGCAACAAACATCTCTCAGAATGTTCTTGGACCAAACGTACCTTTTTCACAGCAGCCATATTGATATGAAACAGTAGGGTAAACACAGGTGTTACCAATGACACTTCGGAGTCAGGGTGTACAATGAAACACCTGTGTTTACCCTACTGTTTCATATCCAAATGGCTACTGTGAAAAAGGTCTGTTGAGACTAACCTCCGTGTTCTTTTCCAAGTTTCTGGAAGTATGTTAACAGGTAATAAAGTTGTCAGGGATTGAGTGAGCTGCACTTGACTTGTATGTTTACATTTCATCATTAGCCCCATTGAAAGTACGCCGAATTAGCTTCCTGTTTGCAGTGTACTCATAAACATACAGACAACTATCAACAAATTACTTTTATACAGACGAAAACCTAAAAACATGACGATTCTCAAGCAAGTTCTGCAGCTAGAACAAGCGTCTTTGCTCTGTGGTTTCAGCTACAACTTGTCAGCCCAACTTTTTGGCCTGTATGTTCATATTTCAACAAATTAACACTATTAAAAGTACGCCGAATTATCCATTAACATGTCCCGTTTGCAGTGTACTCATAAACATACAGACAACTAACCACTGGATTACTTTTATACGGAAGGAAACTTAAAAACACGACGGTTCTAAAGCAAGTTCTGCAGCTATAACACACTTTTCCCTGTGATTTCTATGCAGATTTATGGATGTTTAACGAAGACGGACATCGGCGATAATGATAACCGTGAGAAGTGGAAGTCAGAGGGTTTTAAAGTGAGTTAACAGACTCTGCTGCTGCTCCACCGAGTGCTGATCGTGTCAATAAGCGACCAAATCACAATAACAAGCAATCCTGTTGTTTTCAGAAATACGCCGCACACCTGTCTTTCACCTGACGCTGTATCACTACCTCCATCTCTCCCTCTCTCTCGTGAAGTGACTCATTTGTATTCCTCTGTTTGCGTTGCAGCTTCAAGCTTTCGGTTTTACTTTTAAACCCCCAGCGTGCATCTGTGGGTTCCTGATCTTTAAAAGACGCTTTTTAAAAACATCCTAATGCTCCTGGAATTCAACGACAGTGAAGAACGGTGGGAAACATCATAGAAATCGACGCAAAACAATGAGTGAAAATCATGTTTTTCCTTTAACGGCACAACAATAATGAAGCTTACAGGAGGACCGACGTAAACAAACTGACCCTCATCCCAAACAAACGATCTTACTCTGACATCCACTGTGACTGACTGCATGCTGGTGCAGGTACAAACAAAAAGTATGTTCTCTGGTTTCTGGAGGAGCTTTAAAAAGACCTTCCGTATACTCAAACAACAACAAAAAGGTTCACTCGGGCCGTCACACAACATCTGGAACATTCAAACTGAGAGAGTGTTTATTTTTCAGAGGAGTTTCGGGACATCCAAGGTTTTAATTCCATCCGATTGTAGTACTTTATGATGCTAAAGTCGTCAACAAAACTAAATTTCAGTTTGAATTTGTGCTGCACAGATAACAAAACATGAGCTTTTTCATCTAGAAGCAGTGTGTTCAGCCTGTGTACGTTTACTGTATCTGTCCCACATCAAATAAACCATAAATAAAAAAAATAAATAAATAAATAATCACAAGTGCTTCAGCCTTCGTTTGTGCTTTTAAAGCTAGTTTCAAAATGGTGGACGTCACTTTGGGACTTATAATTTGAAAGGTTCGAAGCAGGTGACAGGTAGACGTACAGCAGGTCTGCGCGCGCACACACACACACACACACACACACACACACACATTATAAACGGGCATTAAAGTGTCTGTTTACACACAAACACACATTAAAAAGCTGCATTTCTCCAATAAAAAAACACAGAAAAGCTCTTTCTCTCTCTCACACACACACACACACACACACACACACACACACACACAACACTAAACACACACACACACACACACACACACACACTGAATGGTGAGATATAAAGTAATGGATTATGAGGATGAGGAGCTTTTTCCATAACTAAAGTCAACAGAAGGTTGTTTGCTTTGTGTTTGTTTGCTGTCAGTATTTCACTAAAAACATCAAACTAGTGAAACATGTGTCCAGCCACACACACACACACACACACACACATATAAATACACGCACACACATAAATACACACACGTCCATCAGGCTACAAAGTCGATACAGTAAAAGCATCATTTTCAACACCTAAGCAGAACAGCACTGATAACTGAACAGGAAGTCAATTTCAAGAATAAAAGCATTATGCAAACCAGTCAGTGAGTCTGTAATGAATATCTAAATATCATAAAGTCATATAAATATCCTCTAAAAACTGCCTTTTTCTTAAAAAAAGAAGTCTTGGAGGGTGAAAAACTAACACAATGCAATAAGTTAGCAGCCAAACTGAGGAAAATCTCAGAAATATCAAATAAAAAGCACCCAAATGAGCAATAAGAGTGAATATGTAAAGGAGATTAAATTCTCTTTATGATCACAGTCTGATTCTGTTGTGGTATTAAAGAAAATGTGACCGGATTCAGAAACATTTTCACCAAACATGTTGAGGAAAACAAACAGTATCAGTTGCTGCTGAGTGTCCCAAACAACACCTGAAGGTCTCCGGAGCCTCCAGCAGATATTAAAGAAAGAATAAGGAGAAGAAGCTTCGACAGCAGCCCACTAAAGTCACTTTTATCTCTACAAACGCACCTGAAAGTTATTGAGATAGTCACAGCAGAGCGGACTCCCTCAGTCCAGGTTCCGGACTGTTTTTAAAGACTTTTTTTTAAGGTTGAAATCTTTACAAAAACAAGTATTTAAAGTGTTGACCGACCTGGCGCTGGTGCAGTCCTGGTACAGCGTCTCGAAGTCCTTCCTGGAGATGAGCTTGCAGCGGTTCACGCCGGGCTGGATGGCGCCGAGCCCCCGCAGGACGCGCACCTGCTCCACGGTGCACACCACCGGCGAGATGTCCAGCCTCTTCAGCTTGGTGTAGACGGTGTGCAGCCCGCCCACCAGGTGCTTCAGGAAGAGGTCGAACACCTGCGGCAGGCAGATGAGCTCCTGGCCGTCCACGCTGAAGCTGGCCACCTTCACGCCGTGCACCTCCACCAGCTTGCACTCGCTGCAAAGACCCGGGCTGGAGGAGGTCTGCGCTAAGCCGGGGGAACCGGGGGTCAGGCCGGCGGTGCTCAGCGAGCCGAGCCCGCCGAGAGGTCCCAGAGCGCCGCCGCCGCCGGACACCAGCGGGGCGGAGCCGCCGTTGCCCAAACCGGGCAGGAAAGCGCTGAGCATGCTGCTGGTGAGCCGCGGGGACAGCGAGTGGGGGTGAGAGTGGGAGTTGGTGTGCGCCGGGCTGGAGGTGCCGGTGGAGGCGACGGAGGTGTGGAGCGCGTCCGGGGCCGAGCGGTAGAGCGCGGCCGAAGTTGGGGCGCCCGAGCCCGGCGAGAGGAGCGGAGGGGAGCCGGGGAGCGACATGGAGGAAGAGGAGGAGGAGGAGGAGGTGAAGAAGTGGAGAGAGGCGAAGGCGCACGCACACTCACTCTCTCACTCTCTCTCCTTCTGTCTCTCCCTTTCACACACACTCACTTTTCTTCTTTTTCTGGCTCTTTCCAGTTGGGAAAACACTTCCTCGCGTCTGTTTCTGCCTGTTGTCCTCTCACTTTCTCCTTCTTCCTAATGTTCCTCCTCTCTCTCTCTCTCTCTCTCTCTCTCTCTCTCTATCCACAGTAACGCTCCCGCTCCTGTTATCCGTGCGTGGAAAGCGGACTGTCCGGTCTGTGCGTAAAAGCGACTGGATCAGACTCCAGGTCAGCCCCCCGTCCGGGTCCCGCCTCCTCCCGGCGTGAGTGACAGCCGGCTGGGCCAATCAGAGGAGAGTCCCTGTAGCACTGAGGATGTGATTGGGGATGAAACGAGGGGGAGGAGTTTAGAGTGTGTGTGTGTGTGTGTGTGTGTGTGTGTGTGTGTGTGTGTGTGTGTGGAGGAGGGTATCGGTCAGATCTCTCGTTCTGCTGTTTTATAAACTTTCTCACGAGCTGCTTGATTCGCAAACGGGAAGTTTTTATTTTTCTTCTTTTCCTTTTTTTGGTCAACCCCTACTCTCTCTCTCTCTCTCTCTCTCTCTCCCTCCCTCTGTGTGTGTGTGTGTGTGTGTGTGTGTGTGTGTGTGTGTGTGTGTGCCAGTGGCTCACATGCGAGCTCTGGTGGCGAGACGGACACTTGTTCTTCACACTGACCGCTGATCAGTGAACACATCATCAGATTGTAGGGGGAGACGGGAGGAAAGGAGGGAAGACAAGAGAGGGAGGAAGGAAGGAAGGAAGGAAATGGGGGGGAAATTAAGGGAGGAAGACAAGAAAGGAAGGAAGGAAATAAGAAATAAATGAGGGGAGGACAGAAGAAAATAAGGAAGAAGTAAATGAGGAATACTTTAAAGGGGGGAGGAAGACAGGAAGGAAATAAGAAGTATATGAAAGGAAGGAAGAAGGAAATTAGGAATAAGTAAAAGGAGGAGGACGTAAGGAAATAGGGAAGAAATGAAAGGAAGGAGAGAGGAAGTAGGGGAAAATAAAGGATGAGGACAGGAAACGAAGGAACAAATTAAAGGAAGAAGAGAGGTAAGAGGGATGAATGAAATAAGGGTTGAAAGAAGGAAGGAAGACAGGAAAAGAGGGAGAAAGTAGGTGGAAGGAAGGATGACTGTTGATTTAAATAACAAATAAAGAAAAGAAGGAAGGAAATATGGAAAAAAAAGAAGAAGGAAGGAAGGTAATGGGGAAAAATGAAGGGAGGACAGAAAAGAAAGAAAGAAATTAAGAAATAAATGAAGGGAAGAAGACAGGAAAGAAGGAAAAGGGGAAGAGATTAAAGGAAGGAGAGAGGAAATAGGGGGGGAAAGGAGGAAGACAGGAAACAAAGGAACAAATTAAAGGAAGAAGGGAGGAATGAAATAAGGGTGGAAGGTAGGTGGATGAAAGGATTATTGTTGGGAAATAAAGGGAAAGAAGAGAAAGACAGGAAAGAAGATAATGGGGGAAAATTAAGGGAGGAAGACAGGAAAGAACGAAGAAATGAAAGGAAGAAGAGAGGTTAGGAGGAGGGGAGGAAGGAAATAAGGGTTGAAAGAGGGGAGGAAAGACAGGAAAAGAGGGAGAACGTAAGTGGAAGGAAATAAGAGTGAAAGAAATGAAGGAAAGAAGGAAATGAGAAATAAATAAAGGGAAAGGAAGAAGAGAGGTAAGGAGGGAAGGAGGAAGACGGGACGGAGAGAAAGAGAAAAAAAGAACAAAAAGACACGTGATGCTAATTTCTCTGACAAAAGGAGAAGAAAGATTAAAAGAGAAAGAAGAGAGAGAGAATTAATTACTGCTGTGTGTGTTTGAGCAGTGAAATGGGATCGAGTGATGTGGATTACAGACTGACTGGGTTCCTATAATCCCGTGTAATCTCATTACACCGAGGAACCCTGACTGAAGGAAGGAGGAAAGAGGGAGGAAGTGAGAAAAGAAAGAAAGAAAGAGTTAAAGATTTACATTAAAGCATAAATATCTGATTTAATTCATTTAACAGGATAAAAAAAAAATAATTTACTCAGTGAAGGAAATGTTCAGATACTTAAATAAAAGATTCCTCGCACTCTTAAAGCTCCGGTGTGAAACATTTAGGAGGATCTATTGTCAGAAATATACTAATATAATATAATAATATAATAATGTTATATAATAATATAATATATTTAATATAATATAATGTTCTCAGGTAGTTTTTATTCGTTTATAAATCATCTGAAAATAAGAACTTTGGTGTTTTTGTTCCTTTACGAATTCCGTAACGTCAGCGTACTTTGTCCGATCTCCCTCAAACTTCACACGTTTGATAAGAGTCCCGCCATGAACACGTCTACGTCCTGTGTGCTTGCTGGTCTCTGGTTGGGTGGAGCAGAAACACAACAAGGTTACCTGCGAACACGTGGCCAGCGTTACTTCACCCCACTGCTCAAACACCAGTGTGCGTCGGTCGCTGATAAGCACATTTTTTAACAAATTAGTGCCCAATGTCTTCAGCACAGAGCTTCAACAAGTATTACAAGAACAGTCCAATATAATATAATGAATGAGTACGTTACAACAGAGATATAAAAACAGTGAGATTATGTAAAGGCAGCTAGAGTTTGCAATCATACGTGTAAACACACACAGGACACAGGACCGAGGCTCTGGGGCCGTCACTTACACTTAGTAACACGGTCAAAATTCAATTTTATTTATATTATTTAGCATTTTCACTAAACTTTTCAGAGGCACCTGTCGGCCAAAACACACTGTTATAGGAGGATCCAGAGGTCTTCTTGATTCTAACAATGTACACAGTCTGTCTATATCTTATAATTTCACCCATTTCTGTGAAGAAAACTACATTAAATTGCTATTTTAGGGCCGGGTAAGGACCTGGACACAAGCTATACTCCCAGAGCGTTCACTCTGATGAACATCTAATGCAATCCTGCATTAAAAAAGTGGGCTTATAGGGCGCCCAGGTAGCTCACCTAGTAGAGCTGGAGCCCCATGTACCAAGGATGAGCCAACCTGTGGTCCTTCAGCTGTCCTATTAAAGGCAAAAAGGCCCCAAAAATACTTGAAAAAAACAATAAAATGAAAGAACAATGAGAAGAAAACAGTGAATTTGTCAAAAAAGAAGCCTATTAAGTTTGTATGATTGTTAAAGAAACATAAAAAATGCATAAAACAGACAAGATTGGATAAAAAAATGACCTAAAAATATCAGGATAACTAACCTCTGATGCAATATTGAGTTTACCTGTACTGTTCTTGTTTTAAGTTGAATGTAATATGAAATATGGCTCCACTATTTGTCCTCCATAGAGCAGGAAGTGTAGACAAAAAACAACCTCTACGAGTAAGAGAAATAAAGGGGTCAAGGAGAAAAGGTAACAGGTAAAAAGGTGAGACGGAGTAAGAAAGAGGTGGACGGAATAAGAGAGATAAAAGAGAGAGTCGGAGACACGAGGGCAATAATTTGTCTCTCAGGACTAATAATGATCCGAGTGAAGCCGGACTCCGAGAGAAAGACAGAGAGGGAGACAGAGAGAGATGAGGTCTTAGTGGAGGTGAATATCTCTCAGCGGGGTTATAATGACCGATATGAACTTGGAGTTGGACTTTGGGATGTAGAGAGAGTGAGAGAGAGGAGGAAACAAAGGGGGGAGGAAGAGAAGACTGAACGGGAGAGGAGAGGAGAGGAGAGGAGGAAGACGGATAAAAGTAGGAAAACTTGTCTGTAAGCTGCTCTTCATCACCCCCCCGGAGAGCGAGAGGGAGGAAGAGTCTGATGTCCTGCTACGGGTGACGTCACACTCCTCCGGTGGGGGGGCCAATCAGCAGGAAGTACGGCCGCGTTCGGACCCGTCACGTTAAAGTATGTCACACAGTGGGTGGCGAGCGTTTGATTCACGCTGCGTTCACGTGGATTCAGGCGTCGTGTTAGCGGATGGACGTCCAAACATAGAATATTTGTGCTGTTTCCTCACAGAATCTGAACAACGACACGATAATGATTAATGAATTATATAAAATAATACGCTCTTAATAGTTTTATTTAATATATTTGTTCTGTTCTTTGTAAATAATACAACAATTCTGCGGTTTGTTTGTATCTTTTCATTGTTTTTCTTGGTTTAAATTGATGATTTTACAACGTTTATTTAAGTTTTTGTGCATTCGAGATGCAAGATTATTATTATTATTATTATTATTATTATTATTATTCTATATATATATTATATTAAACTTTATTGTCATTGCACAAGTACAGGTACTAGACAACGAAAGTTAAGCATCTAACCAGAAGTGCAACGCAGTAATGTTTGATGTACAGGGATATATTAAATAAAATAATATTATAGATAAATATATGAATATACTAGCAGATTATGAACAGAATGAGTGAGGTGAAAACACTAACATATATACAGATATTAAGTTAAGATATTTACAGTATGAAGAGATTAGCAGTAGATTATAACGTGCGGATGTAAGTACAAGTATTAAATATATGTTTTTTAAAGCGTTATATGACCCCGAACACCAGAGTTATATAGAGTATGAGTGAGTACACCTTTATCTGTTTCTCAAACAAACTAAATTATTTGTATTTGTATCCAAACTCGGCTTAAACAAGACGTTTCCTCTGATAATACTCAAGTGTTGCATCAAAATGACTTTTAAACTGTTATTTTAATGTAGAATAATGTTGATTTAAACCAGAAAACTGCTGCTTTCTGTAGTTTTTAAGGTTTTAAACTAAAAAAGAAAAAAACCCGTTGTTTGTCGTTGGAGGATTTTAGTTGACATTGGTCTGCGGCCTTTTTATAATTTCCCTTTTTTTTAAAAATGTATTTCACTTTGGGACAAAAACATGAATGAGAAAAGAGCCGCGGGCTGTGTGAGTGTGTGTGCGTGTGTCATTTCAAACTCTTGTCTCACAAACACCTCCGTACAACACACACACACACACACACCCCCACACACACACACACTCTGCTGCTGTATCTGAGCCATCACTAGAGGCCATCAGGATTTATTTAGCTTTTATTTATACAAGCTTAAAGTCAAACCATCCATCTCACACACAGTAGCCCCCAGCTTTCATTACAGTGTGTGTGTGTGTGTGTGTGTGTGTGTGTGAGCAGCAGATGACATTGCGTGCATGTAAGCAAGTTTTGTGTTTGTGATGATATACAGTAATTCTGAGATGACACGTGTGTGTGTGTGT